GTCTGGTTGCCAGAGGAGGTGCAGCACCGAGCACGTTGCTGTAGTAAGGTCAGTGGGTTGGCTTGGTCCTTCATTTTAAAACTCTGTTATTGATTTAAAAAAAAAAAAAAACATGTGGGTTTGTTTCTTTAACTCAACACATCTACACACTAGCATCAGTATTCTAGGCAGCACATAACTTTTCCCTGCACAGAGAAGTTTAAAATGGGGTTTTTCATTTCATTTCAAATTTACATAAAAGTGTATCTATGAACTTTATTTCCATGTGAAGTCTTCTACAAAGTTCCCTTTCCCTGGATTTTACTTTGGTCTTATTTTAGTCAGAATCTGACCTCTCTCTGTGTCTCTCTGTCTCTCTTCCCTTCCCCTTCTTTCTTGCTCTCTCATCCCATTCTCTCCCTGAAAGATCAGCAGCTTTCCCAGGGTGCTATGGGGAGTTGCAGAGCCAGGATTTGTACCTACCAGGCCTGGTTTTACTGCCTTTCCAAGGCCTTGCATACGGCTAACCCAGAGTCAGATGTACCAGGAAACAATGAAACTTAAACGTAAGTCCCTCATTTGTATAAGATCCTGGACCTAATTTTATAATTTGTTAATTTTTATTATTTTTAAACTACATTAATTTGTGCAAGACTCAAGCCTCATGAGCCTTGTTCCAACCATTGAGCTGTCAAGGAGAAAGCCATATGGGGACCTCAACCCTTGTTTCTTGCTCTTTCTGGCAAATGCCAGTGCTCACAGCTGAGAGTGACCCTCGCAAGCAGTACCCCAGCAAGGCTGGTGGACTCACATCTCAGCACATCTCTAATTTACTTGAATACCACTGAAAGAGTACAGTGGTCACAAAAGCTACGCCAGCCTGTCCGTGTGCACACAGAGCTTCAAGTAGCTGCACAGTTGGTGATTAGCCATGTTCATACTGTACCCAGCAGCCCAGAGCAAAGGCATGAGGTTCGCAAGACGGCAAGAGTGAAAAATCTGACTACCACTTTAAAGGTTTCCAATTTTATTTATGTAATATTTATAATATAACTTTTAAAAACATTAAGCAAAGGGCTACACACAGGCATGAAGTCAAAAGGACTCCATGAGAAAATAATCCAAAGAAGTATTCCTTTTCTCTACCTGGATTTTGTTTTAATGCTTCTCTTGCTAATAAAAAAAACTCCTTCCTGAAAGTATTTCAAAGGCTTGGGTATCTGCATTTTCTGTGTTCCATACAAGCCATCCTCTTTTCAGATAATTACAGAAGGATTCTTTGAAGAAGGGAGGGGCAAACTAACAAAAATGTATCATCTTCCATTCATTAATTGCGTTTATGTGTTTTCATGTAATTAGCAAGTAAGTAAATATTTCCACATTTTTGAAATAGCTAAGGCTATGAAAGCTCAAATAATACCCTGCATGTGGAAGGTAAATCAGTTTATGGGGAAGCCAAGCTTTCAAACCAAACTGCCTCATTTCCAAACCCAACGACTACTCCACATCTTCCCAGGATACATTTATGGGTTATAATTTCATTGCTTCTTGCAAAACCACAGCAGAGTGGAGACCAGGATCTTTCACTTGTCTCAGAGCTAGTGGGTTTGCCACTCTGATGAGGAAAAGTTGAAGACTACCTGTAGGGTGAGGAAAAATTTTGTAGGGAAATGTGCACTTGATGCATAGAGCCAAGTCTATGTGGCACTTTCCTGCCTGGAGAAAATGTATTCAGGAAATAATCACAGATACATTCCAAAGGTTTGTGGACACTTGTGTTCATCATAGTGTCATTTATAATAGCTACAAAAAGAAAACAATCTAAATGTTCCACAACAGAGAAATGATTAACTAAATTAGGAAACATCATATAATGAAATATTAGTTCCATTAAAAAATTGTATTTTCCAATACAATTACATTCAGTGCCTGCTCCTATATTATTTCTAGAGGCTGGAAGACCCACTCCCCCCCAAAAAAAAAAGATTATAAAGAACATTACAAGGACAAGTAGAAAAATTTTAATATGGAATATTTATTAGATAATACTGTATCATTTATTATCACATATGACAAATACAATTTATAAAATAGGATAATTCTTGAAAGATACTTATATAGAGATGTAATATTTTTAAAAATGTGTCTAATATGAATAAAGTTGTACTGAAAACATACTAAAAAAATAAAAATTACAAAGGTATAATAAACATTAGTTACTTTATCCCATGCACATTTCAAGACTCATTTCTCTGTGGGACAAGTCCAAGGATGGAAGGAGCACATTTCTGAGTTAAACTAGTACAAAAGAGATTTGTAAAAGCAATCCAACCATAGAAGTTTTCAAAGCTTTCTAAGCATAACAGCTTGAAGTTCCATCCTTCCAGTGGGAGCACCAGGAGATAATCAGAAGAGGAAACTAATTGTCATGGAAAATTTACATTTTATTGATAAATTAGATTTCAGAGAAGAACAATATTTGAACTTAAGATACACTAGGACAAAAAAGTCCAACACAAAGTAGTCAAACTGTAATCCAATATGGAAGAACCCATGGTGTTCTCAGTCCTCAGGCCTAAACACCTCCCCTCCTTTGAGCTAGGTTTTGAGAAGTAGAGAAGACGATGGCAATGATTATGGCCTCCGCTTTGATTGTAGCCACTAAGTAAGAAGCCATATGTGAACTACTATCTCCTGGAGAAACTTCCCTTTAGTCATAAATGGTAGAAGATGAGTGTGGGGAGGACACATGTAGTTCTCAGGAGGAGGCGCTAGCTTGAGGAGGGGAGGCAGGTCCCCAGGGAAAAGCACTCCTCCTCAAGGAAATGCCACTCTCAGAGTCCTAAGCAGTGAGCCCAAGGCCCTCAGTCAGGGCAGGGTAGCAATGCAGGTACACCTCTCAGGATTCATTCTGGGGTCTGCTCTGCCCCCTCAGCACCTCATCTGCTTGGCTTACCTTTCATTTCTAGAACCCGAAAGGAAATTTCTCCCAGAATGTTTTCATGGATGTTGTGTAATCTCAGTGAGAATGAATATAGATTAGTCTTGCTCATACACCTTATGACAGGCCCAGTGTAGTCAAGAGTTCAGCAAGAAGTGCTTAAGATAGCTTTGCAGGGTAGAGGGTATACAGACTTGTTTCCTGGGAAGGATCAACTCTTTCTAGGAAAAGAAAAAAATAAAAGGTTCTGCCACCCATTAGAATGAAATGTAATGTACAATCGATGTATTGCTTTGATACACATTTACCAACAAAAATTATATTTTTGTAATCAAGAAAGATATATACAAAATGGTGTTATTTTTTGTGCAGTGTCTCACTACACAGCTTGGATTCATAGTGATACTCCTGTTTTCAGCCTCCCTAGTGCTGGGATTTCAGGCATGCACCACCATGCCCAGACTCCCATCAGTGCACCCGGGGGAAGGACCAGCGTGGCATGCAGTGCCAGGGATCAAACCCTGGCCCCTGTGCTTACCTAAGCAAGCGCTTAGTCCTCTGAGCTATTTCACTAGCCCTCTGTTGGATTTTCTAATTTGTTTCTTAGCTTCTGAATGTAAGAAATGAAGAAACAAAAATCTATCAATAAAAGAAGAAACAGAGCCACAAATCATCAAAAGAGGCGGCATAGGTTCTCCTACCCCACAGATCTCTGATTCCAAGTGTGTATGATGGAAGGATAAATATGCAAATCCTCAGAAAAGGATTTTTTTCTGAGATTCTAAGCCTGGTTAATATCTGCTTCCTTGCCTTTTGAAGATGGAAAGTTGAAATGAACAAGGTTAAAAGAAAACCAGGTCTAGATCAAAGAGAAGAATGAACACAAGCCCTAATATAAGGCCTGTTACTTACTTACTGACTTCCTTTTATGGTGTTGTGTGCAGATTAAGAGGTTTGATTACTGATTCTCCCCAGCGTATCTACAATTTATAGATGAAAACCTGTGGTAAACTTTATCTCCCTGAAAATTTTAGTTGTCTGTTTTATGACATTGACTTATCTGAGTATTAAAAGGAAATAGCAGAGCAGCCTCTGTGATGGGCAGCATTCTGCAGTGTGATCAAGGTAGAATTTCAGAGAAAGGAAAGAAAAGGGGAGAGACAGAGACAGAGAGAGACAGAGACAGGCAGAGACAGAGACAGACAGACAGACACAGACACAGACACACAGGCAAACAGACAGACAGACAGAGGCAGAGATACAGAGACAGAAAGATTCCACTGCTCCAGGATACTGAGGCAGGAGGATGGCAAGATTGAGCTACCCTGTGAAAGAGCGATTTACTGAGACCTTGTCTCAAAATAAAAAATTAAAAAGGGCTGGGGATAAAGCTCAGTGCTAGAATGTTGGCCCAATACTGGTAAAAAGAAAAAAAAGAGCAAATCTATAGGGGCTGGCCACCACTGAGGATAGGGAGATTTGAAAATTTATTTTTTGCAAATTGACATGGCAAATAATTTTAGGAAATAGAAATGAACGCCTATTTCAATTATGCCTACATAACTGAGAATGCAGAGTCCTGTAACCAGCTACTAACACTAATTTTTAAATTTCTATATATATGCATTAAAGCCGAATATTGATTTTTAAAAAGGATTGAGGAAATCTGACATTGCCCCCTGCTACAGATCGCTGCATATAGAACAAAGATATTCAAACTGCACAGTTTGTGAGTTAAATAAATAAATGACTTGAGAAAATGGCATATATTTATAAAACTGGCCTCTGAGAATAGGGTTCAGGATAAGAAGGGCTATTTCCAGCTCTATATCTGAAGTAATCAGCAGATATGGGCAATCTAGATAGCTTGGTTAGAGACGCACGATTTGATCAGCTTTCTCTGATATTGAACTTGATTTTTCTAACTGACTTTTCATTGTGGGCGTGGATTCACTGCAAGTCTTGGAGTAAGGGGAGATTCTCTTTCAGATAACCTGATTTGAAGATCTGCGACGTGTTCATCATCTCTTTGGATAGGCATCTGGTGGCCCTGGACTTCTCTCAGCAGAGGCTCAGGAACAGCTCCTCAGTGATGGCTACTCAGTGAGCAGATGGTAAGAGGGTTTGTGTTTGTCCCTTCATTTGGGAGGCAAGGAGAAAAGATCGGCCTGAGTGCATCTTGGAAAGGGGCTGCAGGAAAACTGTAGATGAGGGACTTGTCCGCCACGTTGTAAAATGCTATATGTCCACATTCGTAGTCTAAGAAGACACCAACCTTGTGCACAGGCTCTCGGACATGCTGACCTCTCAGAGGGGAGGAGACCCACAAGCTATAATCCTCTCCAATTTTTAAGCCAATAAGTGAGAAGAGGTCTCCGGGGGGCTTGGGGAGATTCCCCTTTCTGCTCACCGAGTCCTTGCAGATGCCCACTTCCCACTCTGTCTTATTTCCCACTTCCACCTCCCAGTAGTGTCTCCCGCTGGTGAATATCTGAGCTCCCAGCACAGTTGCAGACTGGTCAAATCGTTCTGGGTTGTCAGGTAACTGCTGTCTGCTTCCTCCATATCTCACACTTTTCAGATCTGGAGACAAAACGAGGTAGGCATTGGCTGTGGCTGGATCCAGAGTGATCTCTGCTGCAAGAGGAGAGAAGAGTGAATCCTCCTTCAACACCCTTGAGAACCCTCCTAGAGAAGTGAAATTTAAACTAAGTTCTTGGGATTTAGTCCAATGCGTTAAAAGTAATTCAGAAGAGTGTAATAGGGGTTGAGTAGGTTTAATTTGAACAGACTCTCTGAGCTCCTTTTGCACTCTTCCACAAAGCAGGGAGTGAACTTCTAATTGGAAGCTGAAGAGAATTATGTGGTGAGTGATATTTAGGCAACCTGAGAGGAAGAGAGGAATCTCTAATAGTGAAATTCAAGTTGCGGAATTTTCAAGACACTTGAAGAACTCAGGGCTACTTATCCACACAAGGCTATCCTTTACCGTTGGTGTCCATGTCAGCTGGTTGGTTCTAATTCTTCAGTTTGGATGGGAAAATATAGGGACGATTATCACTTGCTGTACTTTCTAATGTGCCAAACATTCACTCTGTATTATCTGTACTTGTTGCCAGTCTTCTTTTCTCTAATTTATACCAATAAGAAAACTGAGGATCATAAAGACTGGAGCACTTCATCAAGGTTACAAAAGTATAGGGATTTGAATAGCAGTTCCTAAACCATATTGCTCATTATACCATGCTAAAATGCATTAGTGGAGTTTCATATGCATTAGTGGAATTCCAAGTGATATTGTGACAATTCACACTGTGAGCCAGTAGGATGCCTCCTCTACTACCCTCTTGGGAGGTCATGAGAAGGGGCCAACTTTCACTGACTCTCCAGGTAAAAGTCGGTGCACCATCATAAAAATTCATACATTTACTTATAAAGCAAATCCTAGCCATACCTAATTATCTCAGTGATTGTCTATCTCCTTAATTTTACTAAAATTCCTATGAAAACAAAGTCATTTTCAGTCTTACTCATCTTTGTAAGTAGGTTTGGAGCCCCAAAATATAATATGTCTACAAGTCACATAGTAGACATTTACCAAATATTTCTTGAGTCCAAAGCTTTCCTTTGCATGCAGCTTATTAACAAGGTGAACTGAGAGCTGATACTGATCTGCCTTGGCCTTAGCCAGTGTAAACATCTGGAGCCTCCTACACAGTTTTTGAATGTTCCTTTCTTAAAGTTCAGTAGGTCAGCATTTATCCTAACAGGAACTGCATTCAAAATGCAGAAATCTCTGCGTGAGAGGTGTGTGCACAAAGAAAAATACACACAGTGTGTGAAAGGTCCAGGTCTCATTAGACAGAAAACAAAGCCAGAGAGAACATCAATCAAGTGTCACTACTTCAGCATCAACATCGTCTCTGACCACGGTCTGGTGTTCACTGATGGCTCATGATATCTTCAATGATTGCCTAGATTCAGATGGTGACTATTCTATGTGAGCAGCAGTCCAGGAGCCCAGCTGTGCATCCCTTCAGGAGCACTAAAGTTAACTGGAGGAATCTCTGTAGGCTGGGCATTTGGGGTTGACTTACTGCTGAATTTTCTTAGCATCTCCCTCATCCCAGTGACACGGCACTGACTCAGTTGTGTGGTGGTGGCTTCTGGACACTGCAGCAGCCGTGACTCGCTCCTGGAAGACAGCAGAGACCCTCAGCCTCTCCTTGGCATAGACTACACGATGTGCCCCAGCTCAAGAGTCTGTCTCATTCCACCCAACGTGCCAACAATCCCAACCCCATCCCATGATCTTCCATCAGCACCATGCCACCACAGTACATAATTGAGCACAGAGTAAAACCTACCTTTCCAGGGCTCCTCTGACTTCCTAAGGATATGAAAGACAGGAGGTTAGCTTTTGTTCATTGCCAGCTCTTGTTCATTTTTGTTGTGTGTGTCTCTTTCCACACATTACTCACAGTCCTCTGCACACTTCACAGGATTCATTCCTAACACACCTTGGGAGGGAGCGTACATGGCAGAGAAAAAAATCGCCCATGTCGTCCAAGGGTGGGTTTTGGTGAACATGCTATACTTTTCACAATGACTAGAGAATACTCTGTTCTTTATCTTATAGTATCATTTTGTCGAGAGAATCTTTTATTACAAAGGATACAAATATTGGTCTCCTTGTCCAATGCCCTTGGAGCCAGATATAAGCAAAGGAAAATGGCCCAAGGAGAGCTGAGACTAAGCCTGTGTTTAGTCGCAGGGGTTTGTTTGGAAGACAATAAATAAAATAGTAGAATCCTGTGGAATCAGCCCAAGTAGACAGGAAGTAGGAAATGGCTTCAGGGCTTGTGCTTTTAAGGGCCTTGCAGGATGCAGTAGTCAGAACAGGCAGCACAGAAAACATGGTATGGAAAATATACTCAGTACATGGAACACCTGTGTTCTGCCACATATAATATTAGTTATTTGACCAATTAAGTTGCTGCCATGGATCTGAACTGTTAAATGACACTGTACACCTACTTCATATATAACAACCACCAATAGTCTGTATTACAACAGTCCTTACCTTCATCAGGCCTTTGAGAATAATAAATTTAACGTACCTATTTCATAGTAAATTCTCACTGCTAAACTTAATAAAATATTTGACAACACTGAGGCTGCAGAAAGCCAGGCATAGGAGAAATTGCAGTCATCCTGAGTTGGATTGGGAGAGGAATCCTGTCTTTTCTCTTTCCTCCAAGACTTTATTGATATGGATGTTGATTCTTTGACAAAACTAATTTTGGGAACTTAGTTTTTCAGGTGAATGAATTAAAATATTTTATCTATAGCTTGAAAATGGGTTGCTGTACCTTTTTATACTGATCTGTCTAATAGTATCATGAATTTTAGCCTCACCTCAAAAGAGTCTAAATTTGAGTTCTGATACATGGACTCAATCTGGCCAATCATTTTGCTTAGGTGTCGGACTTGCTGGGTCAGCTTGATTTCATTGTCCCGCAGTTTCATCAAGTTCTCCTTTTCCTCCTTGTCTAGAAGCTGCAGCTGGAGCTGCTCCTCTTCCTTGAGGAACTGGTGCATTTTCATATATTCTGACACAACCACCTGTTTAAAAGTCTTCGTCTCTTCCTGCCATCAAACACACAAACACACACACACACACACACACACACACACACACACACAAATAATAATAAAGTCAAGAAGAGAAACCTCCATGCCCAACCCATAGGTTTGTTTAATCCTTACTAAGTCCTATGGTTCCACTGGGACACTTCCTGAAGCCTGACACATTGCGTGTATCTCTAATGACTAGCTGTATAAGGAGTCTGACATTTTCAAAGGTGTGTGTGCTATGAATAAACAGAACCCCAAAATGTCTGTTCCCAGGAGCTGTCATTCTACTGGAAGAATCCCAAACTAAACCAAAAAGTACAACAGGTGAAAAAAAATCAACGTTATTATTTAAAAAAAGAAGGCAAACTGAATAAGGAGAAAAAATATGAAAATGTATTTATTCAAAGAATATTAACCAATGAAAAGAGACAACAAGGGGAGCTGGGGAGATAGATCAGTGGTCTAAATGCTTGCCTAGAAAATAGACAACAGATCACGTACTAGAAATAAAAATATACATTACAAATAGTCATTCTTTACAATTCAAAGTATATGAGGGGGCTCAGATACTCACATTTTTATATCTAAGAGTTTGGTTGTTTCTTTCACTGCGAGGCAACATGAAACTGAAATCCATGACTAATTTTAGGCATTTGTTCAGGTATAATTGAAACTGCTATTTTACTTTTATGTTCTTTTCTGTTTCTTTTTAATTTGCATTCTCTATTTTCCCCAAGGTATTTGTGATACTTTTTTTTAAAGAATGATTTCCCTCATGTGCTTTATGTCCATAGATGTAACTTATATAAATGTAATTAGAGGCATAAGAGAGGCATTTTAGGTATCCAAAGGAAGGAAACATGAATCTGTGGGGTTGGGTAAGTTTACGCTGAGTCATGGGAGTCCCAGGTGGGCAAGTTCAGGTTGGTACAATGCAGGACAAGAAGGGCACAATGCAGGACCAGCACTGGGAAAAACGTTGCCCCTGATGTCTCATTAGCCCCCCCCCCATTGTCCCCTTTATCCTACAGAATCCCCTACAAAATCCAAACTGAGATGGACACTGACCTTACACAGGATCATCCTCTCTCTCTCATGCGTCAGCACAGCTTGAGCTTCCTTCTTCTTTTTGCGCAAAAGATTTAGGATTTCTTGAAGCTTTTCCTGCAGCAGAAACAAACCCTATGGCACCTGAGCTGAACACTAGGTCTTGAAGACATATTGAAAACCCACAACTAGATGGTGGCCTGGACTGTCAAGCAGAAGACAAAACCAAGATGTATTCAGGTTTTGCTAGGGTGCCTGGTGAGGACCCATGATTGTCACTGAGGGAGAACCTTAGGGACTTACAGAATGAAATGGGTTTATATCACACAGCCCATCTTACTTTGTGTTGGTCCTCAGCCTCACTGGAGAGATGCACTCTGTTTGCTCCATGGCTTTGAGTTGACAATGTTGTGACACTCTGCTCATCATCAGAGAACACACGGGTGGCCGCCACCATCCTCCCACAGCTGCATGAATCGTCCTCACTCTGCAGGACCTGAGATCTGAGTTGCCTGCCAATGCCAGCCAGCCTCCCTAGCCGCTCATTGGGCTGGAAATGAGGGCCCCCCAAGGTCCTCCAGCACTCAGGACAAGACAATGGTGTGTTATGCTCCTCCCAGTTCTTGAGAAGGCACATCAGACAAAAGCTGTGCCCACACTCAGTGGTCACGGGGCTGCTGAAATAGTCCAGGCAGATGAAGCACGTGAGTTCTTCTCTCAGATTCTCCATCAAATCTGCTGTTGACATCTTCTCAAGGATGGACATCAGAGCAGGGTTATATCTCTACTCTCCCTGGAGTTCTATTTTAGATAATAAGCTGCTATGCTCTTATTACAGGACACTCTTACTCTCTGCTCTGCCTGATTTCACCCTTTGACATAAAAGCTCCCAACACAAAGGCAATTATGACTTAATGTGGAATCCTTTACACTGGGCTCACCGTCACCCACAAACTTTTCCTCAATCTCTCTCAATGCAAGCCAGGCATAGGATGCTAGTGATATTTGCTTCTAAAAGAGTTTTCATCTTGAGAGTCAGTAATTGCACACATAGAGCACCATGAAACTATTTAAGTACATTGGTTTGAGGCCAGAAGTTTGGGTTTCTTGGTAAGTTTGAATGTCTAACAACATATAACTTGAAAATATTGTCTAAACATTTTGAGAAACTGCACAAATGGAACCTAGTTCAGAATTCACAGAATAAGACTGTCATATCCATTCCTTTTCCCCTTAAGTCCTTTTCTCAGCTTGACCCAAGGCCAGTTTCTCTGCTTCCTTATCAATCACTGTGCAAGGTGGTTTAATTCATCCTAACAAGAGCTTCCACTGAATTGTCCCTTGATGCACACTGGATTCCCAAAGTTATATTTATTGCTCTGCCTTGGAGAGCACAGGTCTCACCTATATACCATCATGGCAAGTAGCTAACATGACAGCCTTCTCAGAAGCCACCTCAAGAGATTAGTGTGCTATGTACTAGATGGAAAGCATTATATCTTAGTAAAATTACAGGTTTTTTTTTCACCCTTACAAAATGTCCAAAGCAGATATTCTCAAATTATTTATCTATTAATTCTTATTGGACAAAAGATAATTGAAAATTTTTCTTAGACCTATGAAAAAAAATTTGTAAAGATGATGTACAATGAACTTTGTCCTTAGTCCTTAATACCATTCTTTTACCATGCCATGTGCACATGGATCAGTTCTTGTCCTGGCCCACAGTCTGCATGCTGTTTCCCAGAAAGCTGGACCTCAACACCCTTCCTTGGGTCTCACTAGCTTGATCCTCCCATGGAAGGCATCATAACATTTTTCTGCACCTGTCATCTCTAGCTCAGCCAACTGACATGGGCCTCTGTCACTAAGGTTATTGATTTCTTTTTTCCTGACATCAAATGCACCAACTGATTCTTCTTCTCCAGAATGCTGAGTGGGTTTCTGTTGCTGTTGCTTTATCTTGAACTTTGAGAAAAAGAAGTTTCCTTCCCCAAATGCTGCTTCTTCTAACTTCCTTCATCCTAGCCAAAATTTGCCTTAAGCAACACGGATTCAACAATTTTTAAACTTATTTCCTTTGCATAGCATTTGTGAATTAACTGGGATGAGAATGTAAGTCAAGGAAAATGAAACCTTCAAAGAGAAGAGCTGTACTGTTTTTAATAAGAAGAGAGATGGCCCTGATTGCTTAGTTTGTTCCTACCCTTAGTTCCTAGGCTACTGAAGGGGCCCAGCATCAAACTATTGTTAGGAGTTAATCTCAAGTAAAGGTCTTGAAAAAAGTCCTACAATGACTCCAAATGCCATCAATGGACATAGGATTTATGCACTACCATCTCTATCAAGGGTGTTACCCATACAGACCCCAGAAGTCCTTATCATTGAGCAGAAGCATTAGAATGTGCCTTACTACAGAGTCCCAGTACATCACAATGCTGGCATTCCAATTGGAAAAGAGAGACATAGTCTCCATTCCAGTCACACTGATCTAATCCACTCTTCTTCTTTCTTCCAAATACAGTCATTCAATACTCTGGCTTCTCTTCAGAACATATAAATCTCATGCTTTTTACCAAATATACTCATCCTTTGTAACATTCATCACATAATAATTGTTTATAACAAAATAGTTCTCTTACATATCAGTGATCACATTAACATTTGGCCCACAGAAAGGGCTTATAAAAATGTTTTAAATTAACAAATGGAAAGACCAATGTATTACAGAATCCTAGGCTTATACTTAACTGGAAGTCAAGAGGCATACAGACCAACTATCTTCTTACACAGTTGAAGAAGAAAGCTGAGCGGCAAACAAAGTGAGTTATTCTGGCACTTGGGTGTGATCCGGCCTGGAGCGCTGGCTGTCTTACCTCCCAATCACTCGCCTCTGCCAACATACTACACAGTACGTAGAACACATGGTTTATGAGGAGGTGAACATTTCCAGTTATTGAAAAGAAATGACTCTTGCTCCATTGTTGTCAAAACTAAATTGGACAGGTATCAGGGCATGAAGACTACTTTCAGTGGCTATCCCCTCAGAAATGCAGACTTCTTTACCATTTTTGTGAGCACACTGACCAGACTAAATGCATAGGTGAAATAAATTCTCAGAGTTAATCAGTCTTTCCCAAATACATTACTCCAGCCCTCAAGGCCCTACACTGCTGAAGCTGATTTCTGAGATCAACAACTCCTGTAGCTTCTTCTCTAGCCTGTTTCTCATGAGGAGGTGATGGTAGGTATATTCTGGGGGTCCTCAGGAATAACCGCCACGCAGATGTGGGAGGGACGTCAGCAATTTAGCAAGACTCCTTGTCAGACTGAAGAAGAAAGAGAAGGAGGGGGAGAAGGAGGAGGAAGGAAAAAGGAGGAGGAAGAGGAGGAAGAGGAAGAGGAGGGAAAGAAGGTGGGGAAGGGGAGGGGGAAAGAGCTTGGGGTGAAGCTCAGTTCAAAGGCCCTGGGTTAATCCCCAACCCTACTTTTAAAAAATCTAGTAAACTTCACTGCCCTATGAAGCCTATCATATGACTTTAAGGGGAAAAGACATTTGGCTTCCAAAACAGTTTGGGTATGAATAACAAGAAATTAGATTTTTATATATTTTTCTATAAAGGATAAGTTATTCTGAAGTTGTTGATACCGTATCAGGACTAGAAAACCATCACCTACCTCCCAGCCCTTCTCTTTAGCAATACACAGCACTGCACCTGTGCATACACACACGGATAGGAAAAGTACAGAAGTTTACTTACAGAATGAAAGAAAGCATTTAAAAACTATACAGCAGATTATCAAATAAGGGGCTCATTCCCCAAGCATATAAAGGATTCTTATAACTCAATGGCAAAAAAAAAAAAACCCTCATAATCTGATTTCTAAAAGTACTAAGTGTTTGAACAGACATCACCCATGTTCTCAAAGAATACATGCCATAAGCCAGCCGGTACATACACATCAACATCAGTGATGATCAGAACATTTCAACTAAAAGGCCACAATGATGGATCGCCTCATACTTTTTAAGAAACTATTATTAAAAACAAAAGAGGCATTTTAGAGTAGATGCAGAGAAACTGGAACACTGTACAGCTGATGAAGTGTGAATGGTGAAATCACTCTGGAAAACAGCATGGAAGGTTACTCAAAAAAATAAAGCAATTATACGAATCCAGAAATCCTGCTTTTCTAGGTGTTTACCCTCAGGAATGGAAAGCAGTACTCATCCACGCTGCATGTTCATTTGCAGCACTATTCAAAGCAGCCAACTTGCGGAAGCAATATAAAGGTCCACAGAGGACCTGATAAAGAACACATGATACACACACACTGTGGAATATTATTTAGCCTCAAAAAGGATGGAAATTCTGTCATGGGTTACAATATGGATACATCATGTTAATTGTCATACTAAGCAACATTTTTTTAGCCAGTAACAGAAGGATGAATCTGCTTAGACAATGATGCATCTGACAGTTAACTTCTGAGAAGCAGAAAGGAGAATGGAGTTGCCAGGGCTGGGAAGAAGGAACACCAGGTGCTGCTAAGGAAAGCACAGTCCCAGGTGCACCAGACAAGAAAGTTCTGCTAAGTTCGGCCGCTGCGCTATGCCACACTGTGCCCGAGTTAGCAGCCTCAGACAGTGCACTCGAAATGGCTTCAGGGGAGTTTCATGTTAAGTGGTCTTCTCTCGATAACATGAAAGTACAATTTTTTATTTATTTTTATTTATTTATTTTGGTGGAACTGGGGATTGAACTCAGGCCCTTACACTTGCCAGTGAAGCGCTTATTCTACTGAGCCATCTCCCCAGCCCCTGAAATTACAATTAAAAAAAAAAACAATAAAACATAGGCACTAAAATGAGCGTGTTTGTTGCCATGATATTGGAACACCAGAATTACTTTCACTTTTTATGTTCTTATATAAAATTCAGTTTAAATTTCCTTTAATCATCAGCACTTTTTCAATAAAGAAATATACTAGGGAACAGGGAGGGGCCAAGAAATACGAGGTATCACTCGTAGCAAGTAAGTTAATGAGGCAGTTCTCTTCAAGTTGAAGATTATCTCCAAGCACTGGTTTCATTTATAATATAATAAATTTGGTTGCTAGTCTGTGATATCCACAGTAGCTTTTATTTATGTAATAGGCATCGAGTCTTTATATAGAGAAAAATGAGCTCAATGAAAGTCAAGTAAATCTGACTAAAAGGGATCCATCTTCGAGGAGACCAGGAGATACATGTAAAAAAATGAAAGCAAAACCTACAAACCCAGAAAGATGTGCACCTAAGAGTGGAGGAACTGGTATTTATTATCTCCTGTGGCAGGTCCATGGGGGAAACACTCATCCTTCCTGGAACAATTAGGGGAAATTTCTGGAAACAAACGACACTATATCTCAAGCGTGAAACCAGCAGGACAGGTGCATTCAATGAAGAAACAAGCTACTATTTACAAGTAAGGAAATTCTCAATATGTAAAAATAGTCAAAATAATTAAAAAATAACACACATGATCTCACAGTGGGGTCAAAATAGTGCAAACCAAAAAAAAAAAAAAATCCATTGCAATATTCTTTTAAAATTTTGTTTTTCTTTTTAGGTAAATTCTCACTGTGTAGCCCAAGCTGGCCTTGACAGACATCCTCCTGTCTCAGCCTTCTGAGCACTGGGATTACAGGCATGTGTCACCACACCTGGCTATATTTTTGCATTTTTAAAAAATTCTTTTATTAATAGTTTGCAACACATAATAA